TCCAGGTAGATGGTGCGGCATTCGAGATGCTTATATGTGAGTATTTACAGTCAAATTTGATTAAAAAGGGAAATGTGTATAATCCTAAAGTTGGCATATAGGTGTAGCTACGATTGGAATATATCTAAAAACCATAGGTAGAGTCTGATTTGATTCAAAATTAAAACATATAAGAGAAACGTAAAGAAAATATCTTTAAAACCCGTATATTACTTAGTAGCGCGAATAGATTTATTTTGGCCCAAGTTGTTGAATTAAAAATGAGTTTACAGCTAAATTGGATTCAAATGCACAGTCGTCGAAAATGGGACTTCACTCTTACTTTCAGGAGCGATAAAGTTCATGTGACAGGACGGTTCTAGTCGCAGTTGACCTGTCAATGGCATTCGAAAAGGTGAATCGTGCGGGGACTAGCAGTCGACGAAGCTACAGACTTGTCCGCAGAACGCCGCACTACGGACAGCGACAGGGTGCCTTCTGATGTCGCCTGAGCACTACCCACAAATGCTCTGTAAGCAGTTTCTGGTGGGGTGCCACAGAAGTGAACACCCCAACAGATCCTTGTTAGGGGAGGGGCCTCCGCCTAGGCACGTCAGGGGACTCCTATTCATATATAGAGCTTCGGTCCAGACATACATCGACCAACCGCTGGACCCGACGACGTATCGACGAGCGATCAACGACATTCATAGAGAATCGGTCACCGCCTACCACGACTCCTCGCCTATAACCACAATAGCCCAACTTCGCTCTGGCTACTGCAGCAGGTTAAACTCATACCTGAGCAGATTAGACGCAGATATTCCTAATGAGTGTCCGGCATGCGGAGACACCCCACGACTCGAAACATCTCTTCGTATGCTCGGAAAACCCGACAACACTAACGCCTTTGTCCCTGTGGACCGACCCCATTGAGGCTGCACGCTTCCTGGGGCTTCCGTTAGTGGAGCTTGGCGACAACGACAGAAATATTAACCGATCTGTGCGGGGTTGTTGTAGCCGCTACAACAACAACAACTCCGGGTCTATGAAAGCCGTGGTAGCCACCTGTCTCAGTGATGGAGCTTCAACTGCCAAGCTCAATCCCACTCAACCAACACCCCTCTCGCTTTGGTCCGACCCCATTGAAACAGCCCGTTTCCTGGGTCCGTTAGTTGAGCTTGTCAATGATTGAATGGTGAACCGATATAGGTGGGGCTTAGTAGTACCGCTACCAAGACTTCGTTGCTTCTAGTTCGGACGAAAATGTAAATAACCAGCTATCTGTGTGGACGTTAATCATGAGTTGAAGCCCCGCAGAATTGCACGGGGTCTTCCTTTAAAGTGAATTACTCTCGCCGACACTGTTTAATACGTAGGTGGCGAAATTCCCCTTGCCGCCTACTGGAGTTAACTCTCTGAGCCACGCTGATGATTGTACGATCATGGCAATGGGGCAAAACATTGACAGCCTTACGGCGAAACCACTGACTTCCCGATCTTTTTACTCCTGAAACTTCAAAATCTCTGTCGCGAAACCCATTACCACACATTTCGCAAAGACCACGCTTGAACGGGACGTCTACATCGTTGGCGCCAGAATACCGACCATCAACCATCCCAAAATCACGTTTGACAGCCACTTGTCCTTCTCAGTGCACGCCTTAACCACCTGTAGCAAACTACGAGCCAGGAATAAAGTCATCAAGTCGCTAGCCGGCAGCACCTGGGGAGCCGACAAGGAGACCCTGCTCACTACGTACAAAGCGATTGCACCAGTATAGTCGGCAGAAACGAGCAACACGCAGCGGAGAAACCTGCAAACCCGCCAGAACCCAGTTCTACATGCAGCTACAGGCTGTCATCTCCACTAAGAAACCCAGATACTGGCGGCGAAACAGCCAAATACCATGCTATCGCGACAACTCCTCGCGAATGTCACCGTGGGGAACACCCCAAGAACGCTCTGTTTCGAGACGTGAGACGGCACTTGCACGACTGGAGAACAGACATCGAGCAGTACACATACCATCGGTTTGACGGAGCGCTGTTTAGAGCGGCTAGGCTGAGGAGCTAGGGTCATGGTGTAGGCTCCGGTCTTTCAAATTTAGAGGATTATTATTTAAGTGGTCTCACCGAAAATTGTCTGAACCACATGCAGTGAAATATAAGACGAGATTTTAATATAAACCTGTGGAATAATGAAGCTATCCTTGCCTCAAAAGAGATTTATTTTCGTACTACATAGCAGTTTTTTTTTTTAAATGTTAAAGCTATTTCATTGATTTAAACTTTAAAATTGCTTAGAAAAATAAAAGTTGGTCATGAAATATGTTTAAATTTAATCAAATAAAAATTCAAGGAATTGATCCAAAGCGGTGGAAATCTATAAATAGTTTTAGTTTTCGTTCTACCACTATATAGAATAGCTCGCTGATTCCGAAAATCGAGTAAACTTTTTTCCTGTAAACAAGTTTTCGAGTTATTTGCAATTTATTAATTTGGTTCGAAAATAAAAAAGGGGGTTTTTCGCTTGTAAAAAAATATGAATATTTTGAAAGTAATTTTGAAGTTTTGGACAAGTTTTTCACATTTAACTTCTACAGCATACGGCTCATAAATGGGGATAAAAATAAAAAATAAAAGACCTTTGTAAATTTTTTTGTGATGAAGTCAAGCTACTAACAAAGATAGTCGATAGATAAATGAAACTGGTGTGTGGCAATAGATAGAAGAAAAAAGGCTTTTAATATTTTAGGTAACTTTTTGGTAATCTTTTTAAAAAATGTTGGTGACATTTTTTCTAAGTGCATGGCAATTGTGGTCTCAACACCCGTAGAGGCAACATCCGCCTCCCATAACTATCGGAGAAGCAAAACTGTCGAGAGAGATTGCAGCTAGCTAAATTCTTACCTAAGCAGGTTAGATGTAGATGTGCCCCACAAGTACCCGGCATGCAGCGAGTTATCCTACGACTAGAGCCATCTTTCTAAGTTTGGGCGCCTTTCTTCGCTGAAGTTTTTTTATGCGTCTTTTTTCGCGATCAACTTTTGAGCGTGCGCCTTTATTCGTGTCTAGTGACGATATGGTTTATGGAGAATTTTATTTTTAACGATTATTCAATTGGTTCGTAAGATATACATACGTGATTAAGTGAAGCCACTCTTTTTTTTAATTTGAATAACGGTAAATTGCAAATATATCGAAAAGTTTGCCATAGAAAAAAAAAAAAAATTATGACATCTATAGAGAATTTTTTCTGTAAACCAGTGTTATTATAAAAAACGGGGTGCCTTTTTAAGTAATTCGGCAGAATTTTCTTCGAAATTTTCATTCCTAAAAAATAACAATTTATTTGCCATATCCACCTATTTAGAACCTCGCTATAAGCACACATTTTTTAAACCAGTCACATAAGGAAAGATTAAAAATGAATTACAAAAACTAAAATCGAAAAACGCTGATGATGTTACAGGTTCGCCAAATTCTGAAACAACCAGAAGAATGAGAATGCAGAATTCTTTGGAAAACAACGGTATTTAAACAATGATGCTTCCGACATTTGCAGCCCGATGCATTCTCAAAAAGGAATTATGGCCGCGCAATAAAAAAACAAAATAAACCAAAGAAGCACTACAGCGTCACATACATCCCCAAGCTAAGCGAAAACTTTGATCGCAGCAGCACAGTAAAGGAACAAAATATAACTCTCGCCTACAAAACAAATAAAACGTTAGCTAGTATCTACACAAAAACAAAAAGCACACTAGACATACAGCAGCAAAAACAACGTTATTTTGTATGAAAAATGAGCAGGAAGTAATGTTACTCATACGCCATGTACATCTGAGTAACACTCTCTTCTCTGCTCATATATCATACAAGAAATCTTTGTGCATTTTCATTAGACCACTCGTTCCTTCTTTATTTATTTATTCATCGATTTTGCTCATTAGTAGCTTGAATTTTCACATAAGATAAAAAATTAAAAAAAAAATATATATATAAGTTTTTTATTTTTCCCTTGTAAGGTTTGAATTTTTTTAATTTTTCACCCAAAAAAAATCTAGAATGATTAATTAATTTCTCAGAAACACTCAGGCCTATCGAAAAGTGATGTGTATAAGTGAGGTGTATGGAGAATTTCATTAGCTTTCATTATATAAATCATGATATAAGGAACCACTATTTTTTAAGCTAAATGACGGTAAATTGCAAATATCTTGAAAAGTTATCCATAGAAAAAAATTTACTTGATTTTCGGAATCACTGAGCAATTCTACATAGGAATTGGATAGTGGCATTTGGTGAACAAAAACAAATAAAAATCTGTGATCCAGTGCACAACTATGTTCCAACAAGTACATGAGCGCTCCTCAAAAAAGGGCCATGGTCAATTAAAAAGCAAAAATCTCTTAAAATTTTCAATGAGAAGCTAGCACCTGTTATATACTGCTGAATTGGTCGGTAGAAATTATGGTAAACTAGATTTTAACAGTTTTATCTGGAGTTTGGCCATACTTTCTTAGCAGAATTCGACCCGTTTTTATAAATTTTATAAAGCATTTACGCGAGACAATCATTAAGTATTTCTTCCAAAAAGACGCACCTAGAATCATCTAGTTGGTAAACAATATTTGACTAGAGAAAAAAATTTTGTTGGTCAAAACTAATTACCTACGCGTGACTATGAATAGAAATTAGACATCCATTAATAGTGCTGAAGTACTTATTCGCCACTTTAAGAATAATCAGTATATAAAATAAGGACACGTTTTCCGGGTAATTTATGTAGATTTACATTTCATTATACATTTTGTAAAAAATTGCAATTGAAACGTTTTCTGTCCCATATGCCACTAACATAAATATGGTCACCGTACCTATAACAGAAACTTTAGATAGGCTTGAGAAAATTTAAAAAAATAAAAAGGTTCTCTCATCTTTCGATTAAGTTTTATCGATTGTCCTTCCAATGTTTTTTGTAATAATTTTTATGAATATTTTCATTTTTCCAAACATGCATTACGTAGCAAGTATACATATTTTTGCATCAGAAGAAATAAAAGAAAATTAAAGACAAAATCAACACTCTTTATTCACGGTGATAATTTCGATGGCGCAGGGATCAGCTTGAAGATTGCGAATACACTCACTTTCCGTATCGATTTCACTCTCGCTGACACCTTCAGACGGTATACATTCTACACACTCACCCTCTCCTTCTTCTTCTTCAGCCTTTCCCACAAACAGAATACTTCGCTGAAGTGTCAACTCAGTTGGCGCAGTACTCAGCGAACAGACAGACACCTCCGAATCGGATAATGGTAATGGCACTGGTTCCTGTGGCAGCTGTGCATAATCATAGTAGCAAATATGTTGGGCAAACCATTGGGAAGGTAGCACATCAACAAACACAGCTTCATCGCGCTCCGACTCGATCTCTCCAGCCACCTCTTCCCCATTACCTTCAACTCCTTTTTTAATCTTATATGCCATGCCGGGTGTTTGAAAAAATCCCATTAGCATATACCGTTGATCGAAGCTAAAAACGCCTGGGCCTTGTGGGTACTCATTATCCCAGTTGCCATGTAATATCGTTGAATGATCTTCATTGCCGAAAAATATTTGAAAAGGACCAACACGAAAACCCAGACGCCAAGTGCCTTTGAAGCGAAGTTCCCCGCAATCGCTGGAGTTGTAGCAGTAAACACCAACGCCGTGTCGCAGTCCCCGGTACCAGTTGCCCATGTAGTAATCGCCATTAGCATATTTGTAGCGGCCTTTGCCGTGCTTCATGTTCTTGCGCCAGCAACCTTCATACATGCTGCCATCAGGATAGATGAACATGCCGCGACCAGAGCGATGTCCTGCAACAGCAATAGTCTTTTTAATTATTTTTTACTTTGTTATTTATTATTTTTACAACCGCAGCGATAGGATCCATAATAGCGAGAACCGTCCGTAAACACATACAGGCCTGTACCGTGGCGTCTTCCCTGACGATATTGTCCATCGTATTGATCGCCATTCGGGAGGATTGCCCAGCCGCGACCGTGTCGATGACCAGTTGCGTTACGACCGCCAATATATAACTATCCAAAAAAAAATTCAAATCAGGATTGATCTCTGATTTGTTGGTGAAACGCTCCACACTTACTCCAATATTTAGGCGCTCTGCCTCTTCTTCGGCTGCGGTCATTTCTGACTCGGTGGATACATCGGAGACACTCATTGGAATGCTTTTTTATTTAACTCTTTCAAAAACGTATTATATGTGTATATTAATATAATCTTAAATGTATTAAATGAACGTTTTGACGTTAACATCGAAGACAATCAGAAAATATTTTTTTTTTTTTTTTTTAATTATTATGAAACAGGGGAAAATGGACTGAGCGACAGAATAATTGGCATCAAAACGCATGATTCATGAATCATAATCAAAACACACATCAGTAGGTTGGAACTCGATCATCAGGGCCGAAGAAAATAGGCAAGAAAAAATCCATTTTAAGCGCTTAGATAAGCACTAAAACATTGGAAAATATGCTTGCAAAACAACAAAATTGAGTGTGCAGTTTAATGCTTTTTCAAGGCGTATTTAATAAGGTGGTGGTGCTAGGGGAAAAACGCTACATGGTCAACAGAATTCAATTTAACTTGATTTAACACAAATTAGAGAAGCTCGGAAAAACACTTAACAAAAATTTGGCCACCAAATATTTATTATTTAGCTCATTTTTGATAATTTTTGAGGGCGCTGAAATACCAAGCTCACTATTGAGCACTTACGAGTTATTTGTCGCATAGGAATGCAGTTAGAGAAAAATTTCCGATTTGCAATACAAAATATAGTATAATAAAAATTACACATACAGATGTAAGTTTAACCAAAATTTGCAGATATTTTGCTGAATGCTTTCGCCATCAAAATCATATTTCTATGTTTTTCAGTCATATTTGATCATTATTTTGAGTTAAATTTTTTCGCCGCTGTGGTGTAGTGGTTAACACTACGATTCCGCAAAGCCTTCGAGCCTAATTTCCGACAACATCAAAAATATAAAAAAGGGGTTTTCCAATAGCGGTCGCCCCTCGGCAGGCAATGGCAAACCTTCGAGTGCATTTCTGCAATAAAAAACAGCTTTTCATAAAAATACTATCGCTGTTCGGAGTCGGCGTAAAACTGTAGGTCCCCCACCCCTTTATGTGGCAACATTTAGGCGCACGCCACAAATCGGAGGAAAAACTTGGTCAAACACTAATATACATATTGTGTAAGCGCCAATCTATTATTATTAATGTGAATTGAGCGTTTTATTTTGAAAGTGGCATAAGTCACTTCATACCTCAAATGACCGAATTTATGTGTAAATTATTCTATCTTCATAAATTAATGTCAAAACGTTTTACCTTACGCTGAAGAAGTTAATCGAATAACCGACTGGTTGAGATACAAATAACCGGGCATTCAAGCACAAGAGATATGAAATGATAATGCAACTTTCAAAATTAACGCCTCCATTTCAGATTTAATTTTTTAGATTACACCGTGCGATAAAAACCAAACATTTTTAAAACACACGAAAAAATCAATATAATCACAAAACTAGGAGCCAAATATAGTATAACGGCGTTTTTAATTTTTCTCTTTGATGTCTCGATTTTTTTTTGAGGAAATTTCTAGGATATGTTTGAATTAAAAAATTATTTAAAAGATTCGGTGCATTGTAGAGAAACAATATGGGTATCAATTAAAAGGAATAATTCTGTAGAAATTCTTGGAAATTTCCAATGTTTATTTTTGCAAAAAATATAAGTCAAGGACTAATACGCAAACTACCACATCCTCGAATTTCGTCCTTCTAACTTTATTAGTTTTAGATAAAAAAAATTTCTGAACTAAAAACAACTTTAACTTCTTCAAAAGGCCTTCGGAAGTACGTCCTACAAAAGCTCTTCTGGAAGCTCTTCCTTGAGTAGCGAAAGCAGAAGCCCTCAAATTTGTGCCACTTCGTACAAAAAATGAAGGAGAAAGGAATGACTTTCAGAAAGGCCTTTTGGAAGAGCCGTGTACATTTGCAGGAACTTGCACCTTTTTGGCATTTGCTTTAAGATACTAAATTAGATTTTAACCAAATAAACTAAACAGAAAGAACGTAGACTCACCAGATATTGCTCAACATATTAGAAAAAATGTCTCATTCTCGATTTTCAACTACTAATGCTTTTTTTTTTCAAAGCAAAAATCTGCTAAAAACTTGATGGGTATTTGATGGGCATTGACCTTCATTAAAAAACCAAGACAATTTAAATGTGGCGGTCCTGGTGTCCCGGACAGTTTGCTTAAATCAGGACAAATCCTGGAAAACCAGGACGTCTGGCAGCCCTATGCTAGGGAAAGGGATATTTCCATACCCCATATACACAAACGTATATTTTTAAACAAGACCTTCTTGCAGAGAATTTATTTAATTTGTAAAAGCCGAAAAATAAACATTTTCTTAGTAAATAAATTCAAAATTTGTATGGCTCAGTTTATTTCAAACGTTTTTTCTTTTGTTTTGAAAAAGTATTAAAATTAAATTGAGTGAATAAAAGTAAAAGAAGCAAGTTTGAACCATGATAAAAACATAGCAAGGTAGAACCGTTCTCTCAATTTGTCGGCCATGATTTTTTTTTAAGTTTGCCAACATTTTAAAATCATATAAAAGTGAAAATAAAAAATTGAAATTGTTCGAAATTGTTGTTGCTTGAGATTGAAAATGAAAATGTGTGTGTGAGTTTGTGAGTAAATTTAAAAATTAAATTGTTTGGAAACGTCAAGAATTTTAAAAGTGACTCTCAGCGGTTCTACCTTACTATATTTTTATCATGGTTCGAACAGCGTCAAATTGAAAATAAAGGAGCACGAATGTTGATGTGAAGCAAAACTCTCTGGGAAAACCATACCTGTAATTATTGTACCATGACGCCGCAAGCCAGTTTCGAGTTACGCACCTAAACAAATTAGACGGAGTGCGGAAAGAAACGGAGCGCGTTTATATTAGGTTGGGCTGTTAAAGTTTTTGTAACAAAATATTTTATTAATTATATTAATGTATGTATATGTACCGTTCTTGGAGTGTATAGAGTATATAGTCAACTATCGAATGCGAGTTTACTGTGAAAACGGTGCTAAAGTTCTACCCTGGAATGCAAATTTCCGATTTTACAACTGTTTCGTCGCATTTTGCAGTTGCTGACCAGGTACAAATACAAACTTTTTTGACTCGAAGCAGAACAATTGCAAGTAAGCGCGCTTCTATTGATTACAATACTAGGGGAAACCAGTTACGAATCGGAAAATTTAATGCATCGCAGAGCCTAAAGCAGGGATCACACGATTTGTACATATTGGCAGTCACGGAGAGGTGTTGTCTATACATTTTTTTATCGAGAATGAGTTCACTGCAAGAAGAACTTTCCAAACAACGCCACTCTGTAACTGTAAAAATATACAAATCGTGTGATTCCTGCTCCTTAAGCACTTATTTGACTTAAGGCGGTAAAATGCATAAACTGACCGAAACTCATAAGCCAAGCTCCCATCGATGCTACATAGATTTTTAACCAACTTCAAAAACAGGAGGAGCTTATCAATTCGTCGGAATATATAGTTTTTTTTTTTTTTTTAAATATATACGTATGTAGATCTTATCGTTTAATGTAGTTTCTTAATACAATTGTTTATTAACAATCAGACTTATGAATATAAGTAATATAATTTGAAAGTGCTCTAAACGTATGTACATTTACCTATGTATATGTTTGCACTTACAAATAAGAATTTTTGGTTTCAAGTTAACGAGAGAAAATTTAAAAAAGAAAAAACTGATTTATCTATGTATCGTAAAAGAAACTTGCCAAAGGATAACGTATAACCATCGCCATTAAGGTGCATATAACCTGTAGACCCATCAAAAATTGTGTAACGACTCTTTCGTGCACCGGACCAAAAACAACCAAAACAAAATTGATCAACGTAAAATTGTTGGTGATCACTCGTCCATCGCTTTCTTCCTGCCACGAGATCAGTTTCGCCGTTTTGAGCGCACGTACCATTAGCAAGCCTAGTATGTTCAGTTCTTTCGGATGAAACTCTGTAGTGCTTATGTGCAGTAGGTCGGTCTTAGAGTCGTATTTCGGTAAACGATGGCGTGGACATGGCACGAAATGAAATAATTGCGGCACCGAATACAAAAAGTTGAGGATTTGCGGAATGAAGAGTAACAATAAGGTTTTACTAAAGTGTCCCAGTATACCGACGACAGCAAAGGTCATGCCAGCAAAGTAGCAGTAAGTATCGCCGACAAATACTTGGGATGGATACCTGCAATAAAATTTGTTTGTCCAGTGAAAGGTTAAAAATATACATGTTATATATACATATGAGGTAGATTATAATATTGTAAAGTATTTACTATATATAGAGGATTTGTTGAAGTAATTAAATACCTATACACAGAAGTTGAATAATCAAAAATCAATACGCATACATACTAGCGTCCGCCTTTTTTCCAAAATCGGTTTTCGAGTTATTCGTAAAATTCCAATTTAAAAAAAAAAAACGGTTCCCGAGTTTGAATTAAAGAAAAGCCCGTATAAACCGCTTTTATTTTATAAAGTTTTCATACAGTCAAAATGCTTATGCAAAATCGCCCTGTTCATCCCCAAATAACCTACAATACAAGGTGCAATCCCGTATTCCTCGGACTCGGACTAGTAAAACTGTCAAAAAATAAAAATTCGCTCAGAGCGAGAGAGCAACATTGAAATGTACGGGATCGCTTTCTAGTAAAAAATGGTAACTTCTGTCAACTTCAACATAACCTCCAAATTTTGGTTGTAGATTGTTGCTTATTTTGTATGTAAACACATCCAGCTCACACATGTAAATAACCAAAAATACTTGCACTTTTCTTTTGTTTACAATTTGGTTGCCAAACACACTACAGCTGATCGTTTGACACATTTACCAGCAAAAAATTCTCGGACTAAAACTCGTAACTTCTGACAGAGAGAGGAACCGTATTTACTCTCTTTTTGGTCCTCTCAATAGTCAGAGAACCGAGTACGGGATCGATTTCCAGTGGAATCGCACATACAAACTGAATTTCTCCCATTAGAATGTGTTTGTGGTGTAAGAAATTAAGTTTGTATGGGAGATTCCACGCTCACTTTTTCAATAACTCCAACTTTTATCCACGAGTTTGGCGTTGAAATTATATATCTCTGTACTAAGTTGCAGCACTCTACGATGAATACTTTCAGAGATATGGTGCGGGAAAACTTCAGTTTGTATGGGATGTGCCACGCCACCTTGATATATCGGAATTATTTTTCTTTCTATTATCATCCTTTGAGGGTCTGGAGTCGATGTCCAAAATTTCAAAAATATCGGTACAGCTGTTCTCGAATTTTTCGATTAGACAAAAAAAATGGAAAAAACGGCTTTCAAAATACATATTAGTGTAGATAACGAATGAAATACATTTTTTAATTAAATGTATCCTATGGAAAAGTGTTTATGAATATTTTTTAAAAGAATTGCACATTTGAAATTAATTTCAAGTATTTTCCAAAAAATTGGAAGCATTCAAACGTGAAATTTTTTTCTTTCATTTTTCAACATGAATAATAAAAAACCAGAGCCTTTTTAAAAAATCGCCTCGATAGATCGACGCAAAATTTAATTATCTTTTATAAAAAGAAAAAAAATAAACTTGAAATCGGTTCATATTTGGGCTCTCAAAATTCGTTTGTCCACAGCAACCGTTTTTGCCCCACTGTGCGTCCCTACAGTGTTAAGGCTCTGTTATGCATACTTGGCATTGCATGCACTGCTATACCATTTTTACGTAGAAATCAAAAACCAACAGACTTCTACGTATGTAGTGCTGTGCGTTCGATAACCGATTACACGCGAGGCTCATTTAACAGATTTCTTATGTGACAGCTCTCAAGCCATGCCAAGTATGCATAACGGAGCCTTTACTTAGTCGGGTAGGGATGTAGGTGCGCACACCTACCTTGTTGGTTATTTGTGTGTTCACCTTTGGTCAGACTTAAAGAAGGGTCTTTTAAAGCCACAATAAAGACGAATTGTGAATGGATGGATTTCGCCGACCTAAACGGGGTTAGATCGCCGAAACAACAGCCCTTGGTCGGGTAAAACCCAAGTCATTCCGGTACGTAGAACAGGCCCAACTTCGCTCTGGCTATTGCAGCAGGCTAAACTCTTACTTGAGTAGAATCAACGAGGATGTGCCCAACCAAAGCCCAACATGTGGAGAGTCGCCACATGACTCCCGGCACCTCTTCACATGCCCTGAGATTTGTATTTTAAAAATGTTTTTCGATTCCAAGAGTATGCAATTGTATATAATGCAAAATCGGGGAAAATGTCCCAAGCAGAAAATAAATTGCCAAATGACCCACCAGAAAAAAATCTTATGTTTTTATCACGGACCCGAAAGTCGTGGGAACGAACGGGTTTTGATTAGGGATGCAAATTTTCAGAGCCAACATCGATACATCGATATTTCGATGTATCGTAAACACTAACAGCGATGCCGAAAAAAATCGCCCCAAAACTATCGATACATCGATATTTTCCGATGTTTCTCTTTTTTAATAAGTATGTTACAGGTACTTCATGATTTGCAGGTTTTTACAGGAAGCTTTTAACGTACGCCACCTTCCATAAGGTTTATTAATGGCGAAAACCGCTTAACCTGTAAAACCTGCAAATCCTGAAATACCTGGAACTGACTTAATGCTTGTTAAAATTTTAAGAAAAACCTAGTGTCCATCTAAACTGCTACACTGTTAACATTTCAATGGGTGGTTTTTTGAATTTAATTAGATTTCCTTGCAATGTCGTAATACATTTGCTGTTTACGCGCAGATAATACTTACACTCACCTTAAGTCGTGTTGAAATACTGTAACTACGTCATGGAAATCGCCTATGTTCAACGTTGCCAATTGCTTTTATTAAGTGCAGGGCTGCCATCACCCGTAATACGCTTACCCAAAGGGCTCTGTCCCACGGTCAGTAATTATCACGATATTTGGATCGCGATCCATATTGATGGATTGATGGATCGCGCACGAATGCTACATGTTCAATATTTAGCGCGTCAGTATTTGCATATTTTTTTTGCTGAACGCTTATTATGACGCAAGAAAATATTTTTATTTTGTACGGATAATTTACAGATAATACATTTATTATTTATGACAATTATTTTAAGACTTGTTCAATTTGTTTTGAAAGATTTTAAGCCCCGAGAGTGAAGGCAGAGCCGATGTTTACATTATGAGAGTAAAAGATGTACTGAAGAAATGTATGGATCGCGTTTTGAAAGTGCTACACGTTCAATATTTATTGACGGTATTGCGATCCGCGATCCAGATTTCAAAATTTTTAGAAATTTTGCGATATGGATCACGATCCATCAATACTGCATACTACACCGTCAATAAATATCGCGATACTTGGATCACGTCAATAAATACTGACCGTGTGACAGAGCCCAAAGAATATAACATAAAGATGTGAACGCAATGGCAATTTTGAACCGAAACTAAAGTCGATGTTTAAAACATCGTTAAAATTGACATCGATATATCGCCAATTTTACGATGTTGAGTAATTTTCAAATATCGATGGTAAACATCGGTTTATTGGCCGATGTTATCGATGTTTCAGAAACATCGATGCATCGTTTGCATCCCTAGTTTTGATACGAGTATTTGTTTTTCGATACCTACTGAGTACTTGGTGCGAAAGTATCGAGTATCATACTTGTATCATTTCATCCCTAAACAGCTGATATAGCACATCTTATTCGCAGACTGGAAAAGAAAATTTTCGTGGGTGTGTTTTCTATTTGGTCGCCGTAAGAAAGCATTGCAAACTAAAAATCGCGTAGTTTATATTAAATTTTTTTTAGTTAAGACTACATACATATGCATGTTGAAAGTTTTTTGGCTTGTGTTTAACAACTTATGAACCACAAATGATAAATGTTTCAACGCAGCGGAGGAAATGCATCATTTCGCATCGCAACAAACCATCAATTTCCACCAGGAACTGCTGCATCCCTTATTGGCATCGGGATGCCGGAGCCTCAAAATCCACCCACAGCCGCAGGAAGAGCAACGTTTAGCAAAAAGTTACTACTAACATTGTTGGTGCTAGTTCAAGTATGCTTCATTTCGTGTCTGTGGTTATTGCAGGCAGGCGGAAGCATTAAAACCAGAATTAATCAGATAACAATACTGAATGATGGCGATACCAATGTTTTAGCTGTTATGCCTCGCGCTGCAGCATTGCATAATATAAGACGAGTCAATTTTATAACAAAAACCAAAGCGTTTGGCTTGGCCAATAGTGCACCAGATAAAAGCACAATACTCAAGTATGATATTCCGCCAGCTGTGATGGGAAATGGTCAATCAGGGAAGGCGAACAATTTTAGAAAAGACTTTTACCGCAAAACAATCAGACTGAATAAATCTATAGACCTTATAAATAAAACTGGGCTAGTGGCTGAGCAGGACCACGAAGTTTTCTGGTGCTTCCGTGAGGGCAGCTTTGACGAATACTCTACGCGGCCGAATGGTGATACATCACAAAGTGACGAACTATTTAGGGGAGAGGAGGACACAGAATGCAAGTGCCGCACCGGTTGGCATGGGCGCGACTGTGGCCAACCGGAGATAATATGGCGTGCGCTCCTAAAGGCAAAATCACAAGTACGACTGCGTAAACCAAGCGATACAGTAGACTCGAATCAGTTAGTTTATTTACTAGAAGGCAATTTCTTCAATTTAGATTTGTTAGATTTACAAATAAGTGCACTCACCGATATAGTAGATTTTTTTATAATATTTGTTAAGCAAACTCACGGCAACTTAAAGCCATTAAAACATTGTTTAAAAGAAAAGCTGGCAGCAAGCAAATATCTGCTTTTCTTATGTGACAATCAATATTTAACAAAAAATGGCAATTGCACGACTGAAAAGGCGTATGAATACTTTCGTCAGCAAATGGGACTAAAGCAGCTCCCATTGGTAGTAAAGCCAACGGATTTGCTGCTTTATACTAATGATCGTGTGTTGCCATCCCGACAGGCGCTGCAATTCCTTAAATATTATGCAACGGATGTGCGTAGTATTCCTTTTCGGCTGAAGTATGTCGTTTATGGGTTCTATTGGCAACATCCCGAGCAAACTCAGCTAAATGGTTTTGTAAGTTCCTTTGTCCACGTGGACAAGACGGGCATCAGTGGCAGAGATCCATCAGATATAATGCAACGAATTCTTAAAGAAAGCACTCAGCCGCCACTTTTTGTTATCGGAGATCTTAACCATTTTGGTGGGTGGCTATGCAAATACTGCCAGCAGCCAGAAGAAATAGTCGCCGAATTGCACGCGGAGTCAAAGTTCTCAAGCCAAGTGCAATTTCCTAATGCGGTACTCAATATTGACGTGGCTTATTTGCAAAAGCTTATTGCCACCGGAATATATGTTGATGGGAAGACGCAACTGTTGCGCATTCGTCGGTATTCGGATAAATACTACTCCCCCGCAATAGCAGAAGCAGAAAAGGCGAAGTTTGGAAATCTGCTGGTAAATTTATATGAGTCCTTTGATGACGAGATTGAATATGAGGCTAGGGATTATTAATTAACAAAGCTGTAGAGCGGAGCTCATGCGATCAACTATAACTAAAGTTCTACATATTCTTCTATAAGCATATACATGCCGGCCTCATTGAAGCTAATGTTAAAGACACCACTATTTGTTTTCCCAAAAAAAAAAATCGTATTTTTGGGGTAGCAAAAGCTCTATCACGGATGCATACGAAGTTACTTATGTGTATGTATGTACTATATAGATATTGTGCCTAAATAATTTTTAAATTGAAAAATATGCAGAATATTCTTTGCAAATGAAATAAAAATACGCCAATTAAAACGAAGTTAAAATACGCCCAAACCATAATAAAAAATGTGCATTAAATAAAGTATATATATGTATATGTGTAGTTTTGATGTCACCACTGATTAAACTTATTTAGATAAATGTTTAAGTCTTGTAAAAAAAAGTCGCAAATTGAGTAAAAAAGTTAAAGCTGTCGAAAAACAAATACATATATATATATATATATATATATATATATACGTCTATACATATTTATATTTACGATGTCCTTAATTAAAGCAGTGTATATTGAATAACACAAACACGAGCGATACATTTTTTTTCTTAAAAAAATTCAACCAATGCAACTATTTTCTCTAGGTGCCACAACTACATATCGTATCATATTTGAAAGAAAATGTAACTAGAAATTTAATTGAGAAATGTGTAAATTTTACGTGCGTTCCATATTAGAATCTTACATTTAACGAAAAATTATTTATGTATGTAGAGTTGATTTCAGTTCAAAGCTGCTGTGATAGAGTTATTGGGATCAAACTCCTACGTGAGGAGTGATATTTGTGTATATTTTTCAAAAACATATACATATGTATGTACATATGTTAATTATATTTTGTAAAGTATGTGTTTAAGAATGTAAACTCTTGAATTTGTTTCATCGTTTAAAGTACAAAACCGCGTACCGTCATTCCGCAAAACCGCGTAACTGACATTTGCTGCCAAAAATTGGATTTGAAATGCAATTGATTTATAAAAAATTTCAAAAAAATAAATTAAAAATTATAGTTTAAAAAACTAAAACCTCACTATTATAATTGCCATTCGTACTGTCATCAGGTATGTAACTTGAGAATAGAAATCGCTGCATCTTTTAGGCGCATCAATATTACATAGTTACATGCCGAGCTAATAAAAGGAAGGTAATAAAAAAGAGGACCATTAGGAAATAATTTATGTAACCTCACATACGCGGTTTTGCATTATCTTGATACGCGGTTTGGTATTTTGTTGATACCCGGTTTTGTACTTTAAACGACGGTTTGCTTCTCTAAAGTTGTTGCCTTGTGTAATCTGATTTTTAAGTCATTGAGTCATTAGTTATCGAGCGAAAAAAATGGTATTTTAATTTAGTCATTTATATTAGGACCTCCTAAACTAATTAAAAAATTAACTATTATACGTACCACTTTCGTATTTACCTAACAACAATGTCAATCGAAGATTATAGTATATCAAAGTAAGTAGTATATTAGGCTACTTACTTGGATATGAAAATGCAAAAAATATGAATGTATGTCGATGAATAAATAATGCTTCATTTTATGTAATATTTGCGTTTTTTTAAGAAGTGATTGTCATAGCATAGAAGTGATTGTCATAGCATGACCAAAGTGAGAGACCAAATATAAGATTTATGGCAGCTTTATTCTCTGGACCAAAATTTACGATTTAAATTTCAATATTTTATTTAACTTGCTATGTATGTAAATTGTTGGAGTCAAATGTTGCAATCAAAGAGCTGGAAATTTGAAACTTGCATAGCTTAGAACCCTATGGCAATACAATATGAAAGAATTCCTCTAGGTTTCGCAGGAGTGGAGATATTTGGGAAACCCTATTTATGATCCGATTTGGTTCATATTTAAAAATCTTGCTTTAAAAATATGTTTTATTACTATTAAGTTTTTTAAAGATACCTAGTTAAGATATTTGCGCGATTTTTTTTAAGTAGTTACAACCGCAAGAGATATCCGAAAATTTTGCGGGTGTAATGCCATTTTTTCAAATAACGCTAAAATAAAAAATAAAAGGTAGATAACTGTTGCATTAGGATCTACAGCTTTTTTAAATTTTGAAAAGTTCATGAGGAATCTAGGTCTCGCGTCCAGAGTTTTTACTTAATATCATTACTTATGGCATATTACTTACCTATTATATTTCCATAGCGCTAGCGAAACCGCCAAAAACGGCAGCATTAGATAAATGGAGAATTTATGACAATCCACTTGATGGCCAAGTGCCAGTTCAATAAAATTGTAACATAAAACGGATACACCAATAACAAGTGATTGGCCCACCTCTAATCCATTTATACCCGCCAAGATATTTATTGCGTTCGTACAGAAAACGGCAAGCATACCCATATATATGTAATAAAAAACACCTGAAAATAAACATTTTAAGTGACTTTGGTGGTTGTTTACTGCTAATTTACGTTACCAATGTCCAGAGAATAGCCTAACAGTGATCTTGCAAACTTTGGCATAATAACGGTTGTAATGTTATAATTCACATAATAGACCATAAGTAATGGCAGGGTGGCGATTGTGGGCAGCATTAACTTGTGACGCCAGCGCAGATCCAATACATCATCAGCAAAACCCAGAAGAATCATACAGCAAATAGACAATAATGCTGCGATCATTTCGGCAAACTGTAAGAAATATTTTAACAAATTGAAAAATTGAAATTGTGTTTGCAAAACTACCTCCTCATGTGGAAAAGTTGAAGGTTTCGCGCCTGTTTTTACGTCTAGCAGCGCTGCCTCCTCGAATGTAAAAGGAATCGGTATGAAAAAGAACATCGCCACCAGAAAAGCGCAACCAATTAAAACGCCAAAAGACTCAGGTCTAATAAGCGTGTGAGGATTTAAGTACTTTAAACGTTAAAACTTATATTACTTACATCTGCGGCTGATCTCGCTTACAAAGATCTTTACCGTACAAATTGGCTTTGATAAATACGTCCTTGAACCGTGGAATCATCCTCACGGTTAAGAGATAAGTACATGTGGCAATGAAGCCACTGATAGCAATAGTAAAGCCACTCATTTATGGCAGTTTGGTAGTAAAAATTCGTGCTTTGAAAGTACTGCGTTGATTCAACTAACTACTAATTTAATTACAAGTTCGAAAGAACGTACGTGGACAAAAGAAAAGCCAAATGAACCTACAACAATCCAATTCCATCAGAGCGGGGACTGAGAGGAAGTGATAACAATTATGTCAAAATCAGCTGTGTTCAAGAACCAGAAAGAACAATCGATAGAACGAAATTATCGATATTTGTTACGCTGGTAAGGCAGTGCGAATTGAACATACCCTAGAAAGCAAACAACTGCGGTAATAACTGTTGTCTGCTTCCACTTGTTTCCGGTATATGAACCTTTTAAATCTACTGTCCAATTCTTTATTTCAAATTTTAAATGCATGCAATGCTTAAAGATTTAAAAAGTTGTACTGTAACGAACACTTTGTAACACTCCAATTACGAATTAAACATTCATTGCCGCTTATTACATTTCTACATGAAAATTTGTAGAAGATTCGATACAGATTTGACTCATTCGAATGAAGCTTTAACGCAGAGTTATATGGTAAATCATGTCGATTGGGCCAGTCGGAAAACATGGCAGTTCGACAAACTCAGTGGTGCAGCAGGTCGACGTAATCGGACATTCACGACACTTTCTCTCACTGGACGTTTTTTAGTAATAACTCGACTCCAGCGCCACCTGGTGGCTCCTTTTTGAAAAAGTATTGCTCTTACCTCTACCAATAAATAAAATAAAACGTTTAGTAATAACTCGACTCCAGCTCCACGTGGTGTGTGAAATTGTGAACTGAAACTATACAGAGATCCTCTAAAACACACACACAACGCCCAATTTTCAAATAGTCCCACTTCTCTCCATGAGTATTCCATTGCTTTCATATATCTCCATACCATGTTCGATTTTTTTTTAGCTTATAACCATTCTTGGAAATTCTACAGTAGGTGTGCGAAATTCCAAAGAAAAAATCGGTTTAGCCAGAGAATGTTTTTATAAACCCGACGAAATCCTTGACTGGGGTACCGGGAGGGGAACGGTCCATGACGGTAGGAAGTGTAGTTTGGAGTTCGGGTTAAAGTCTCACACTGGCGGGGTTAGGCTTTCGATGCTTCCTCCTCGTAAAATAAACATGCGCAGTAAAGAGTTAACTATTTTAATCGACGATTAGTTTTATATCAACTTTTGTGAACTTCTGTTTATGTGTTTTTGTACCACCGCTATTGGTTACAACAATTTTAAGCTATAATAAACAATTTTTAGTGAGTAAATTATTGGTTTTGATTTTTTTTTTTGTATAGGCCCCCCTTAATTTCTTTCTGGCTACGCCCATGCGTATAACGCTACTTAACAACTCAGTAAAAATACCAACAAAAACACTTGTGCTTTAAGTAGACTGAAATTAAGCTTATTTATGAATGTAAGTACATGCAAAACATTAAATAAAATGTCTGCATGTACTATTGTGCGTATACTACAATGACTTTATTTCGAATTAGTATAGTGTGGGTGAAGAATTGCCGGTTATAAAAGAGTTAAAATTTTTTACGGTTAAACGCTGATCATTTCCTAGTTGCTCATGCATTATCGGATCACATGCCTCGTATAGTTCAGCATATTTTAATATTTTGGAAACTAATAAAAAATCGAACCACTATTAGGATAACATGTCGGCTGGCGGTGTGTTAGCTGAGGTGCTTAAGCGGCAAGTGAAGTGATTATTGGGGTCGTTCCGGCAGCTACCCCTTCTGTAGTCTGTTTAAGCAAATAGTATCTATTAGCTATTGACAAAACAACTTCTCTCGAGTGAGGTCATTTTCTCTTCAAAGTAGTAATTCATTGAGTTCTCGAATGATATTTTTATATTTAGTTATTCATAAAAAGATAAAAATTTCAAATTTTTAAATCAGAGATCCTTAAAATTTACTCAAAATTCCAACCTACAGAAAGCACAGCGGTTGTTTTGTCAAAAGTCCACAGATATTATAGCTACGGTGACCATATTTATGAAAGCCGAATACGGGACAAAAAATTATTTTGCAACTTTTTTTTTGTCCACACTGTTTTCCCTGAAAGGGTATCCTTATAGTAACATCACAAATTTGTAGTATAATTTTCTCGAGATTTTTACCCCATAAAATTTGTTAAAAAAATTCGTTAAATTTTAGTATCAGAAAGTGCAATTTTAAGTCGGTAAGGCTTACCACTAATTGTTGGCAATTTTGTTTTTTTTTTTTTTTTTTTTGTTGACAGTGTTACGCTTTTTTTCATACAAATTATGTATGTATGTTCGGCCTTCTTTTTTGAAAGAGAAGCAAATGAGCAGCACTTTCAATTCGCACTTTATTAAACTCATTTTCAATGAGTTACAAAACTGCAACCCAATTTTTTTTCTAAAGATTCTAATTAAAACGTTTGAAATTTTGGTGAAACATTGCACAATTAATTTTATAGTTTTTCTCAGGAAAAGAGCTTTACTTTAATAAAATAAATAAATAATAAACATTATATAAACTAAAGAAAAATAGCCACAACTTACTAAAACGTCGGGTCTCAATTTATATTTTGGTCACTGTATGTATTCTTCGATTCGAATCACAGGCATTCAGATTAGAAATTAATAACTGTTTATAAAGAAAATTGTCATTATATACCAAAATCACTTAAAACTCGTTCATAGGCAAGCCATTTAAATGAGCTGTTAAGGCTTCGGAGCGCCGAATACGGGATAAATACAGGACATTAAAAGAAATACAGAACATTTGGCGTCCCGTACAAAATAAATAAATTACCAGGACAATGGGTCAAAAAAGAGGACTGTCCCGTACAATACAGGACGGATGGTCACCGTAATTATCGCATTAGTCTCTTATTTCTAAACTATGATTGATTGAAATGTCCAATATGCACAACCACAGTTAAATGCCGAATTGGAAGATAGTTTCGCAAACAAGACTTTGGTTTGATACATTTTTGAACACAGACAGCCATACAAATTGCAACAGATTAGCATAACGTGTGGTCATAAGCAATAACCGCCTAAGTCGACTTAAGAAAAAATTGAGTTATATCTGCTATGGCATTCTGCAACTACTATTCCATGTGTATGTGAAATCCCCATCTCGCCAGCCAGGCTATTTAAAAATGTTTAAAACGGCTTTTCTGGAAATTCGGGTTTTCACTTTATTCTGATGGCTTATATTCAATACCCTCCAAAAACCCAGTAAAACTTGCAAGGAGAGAGCAAAATTTTGACATTTCATTCGGAGGATGGATCAATGCTTCGAGAAGCAAACAAATTTACTAGGAAAGAAAGTTGCATAAATTTTTATTTTTTCCAATTTCAATTTTTTATTTTTTATAATTTTTTGTATTTCACATGGCACGCTTTGATTTAGAAGANCGACACCGCTGTCGATATAGGAAATCCGACAGTGACTTCCACAAAGAAATTGAAGCGTATGTTGAAGAAAATCAGAATAAGAAGAAATATACGTTTAGGTCCTGTTTTCAATTCCACCTGAAATAATTTAAAAATCTTATTATGCTCGAAATGCAACCGTGGACGACAGTTGGCAGTGAAGCTTGCAAATGTTTGCTAATTCCTGTTCGCGCAAAACTTAGTAAGTTTCTCTCTTTGGGAGAGTAAGGTACCGTATTCTCTGAATTTTGTCACTGGCTAAAGGCTCTGTTATGCATACTTGGCATTGCATGCACTGCTATACCAAGAGCAGCTGATTTGATTTATTTTCAAATTATTTGGTCTCGAAAATGTCAAATATTTTTAATTTTTTCTCACAAAAATTCTGAATTGTTAAAATCCATTTGCATGTGAAACCTTTTTCCATACAAAACAAGCGATTGAATAGCAGCTTTTGGAACGTTCGCCCAACTCGGCAGCACGACCGCTGATTACTGGGCCTTGCAAAGGATGGATCAATGCTTCGAGAAGCAAACAAATTTACTAGGAAAGAAAGTTGCATCAATTTTTATTTTTTCCAATTTCAATTTTTTATTTTTTATAATTTTTTGTATTTCACATGGCACGCTTTGATTTAGAAGAACAAATTCAGAACAGTTGTTGACACTTTCGATACCAGAAGCAACAGCAAAATACACGCAAATGTTGTTTTTGCTCTACTGATACTACCTGTTTAATGTGCCTTGCATGCAAGTCAATTTCGGGTGACGCAAAAAAACAAATTCGACGGCATGCGTACCAAAACGCAAGCCTCGAATATTAGGTTAGCCTTTAAAAAAAAAATCGCCAGATTACCAATTCTTGACACTAATTTTACTTCTTTTCTAAAGTAACTTTTTTGTTGAATTTGCTGTTATTTCTTGCTTTTTATTCTTAGTGTACAATATAAAGTACTTTATTATCTTTTTCTTTGCAACATTTTGCAGAAGATATTTACAAATAATTTACTTTTCTAAATTAACACTCATATTGCCTACATAACTATACATACATATTTATATATGTATGTATGTATGTATGTACATACATACGTGATGATGGTGTAATTTGAATAAGTTCTGGCGTATATACTACGTATCGTCGCTTGGCGCGCAATGTCTCGTATCTGCCAAATGCAATGCCACGTATGAGATGGCATAGAAAAAAATGTATTTTGATTATCCTGTCTCAAGGCATTCCCTACTTCACAAATTTAATAGTAACATAGAAGCTCATATTTAGTAGTTAGCAAACCATTCAAACGTTTTGAAGAAAATAAGTTTCTTCGCTGTTTTGCGAAATTTTCCGAATATCTTATACGTGGTATTGCATTTGGCGGATATGAGGTTGTTGTTGTTGTGCATATGCATTTTCGAATGTTCTGGCTCATTCACTTTAATTGTACATACAAATGTATGTATTTATATATAGGCTTTTAATTAGGTATATTCGGTGTATTTTCGAGTGAGCCTTAAAAATCGTAAAGTTCCTATGACTATATGTTCTATACATATGTATGTATATAAGTTTGCTCTTAATGTTTTATATGTATTTTATAAGACGTATGTATTCATGTTTGTAGGCATTTAAAATCTGTTGAAATTGCTTAATGATTTTCGCACAAATTGTCTCTGGGAAATTTCTACACTACCTACTCTAAAGAGGCGGTATGGTTATGACTCTTGGCTTTCCTCTCAAACTTGTTTATTTGTTGAACGATCCTA